CCTAAGCTTCCTAATTAACGCTTAAGCTCTTACATAACAAAAGTCTTAATTCTCTACTGTCAACAGTCAAGGTTTAAGGAAGACAAATGCTGAGGAAACTTCTCTGATTGGAGGGTGATAATTGAAGGATTTCTGTAGATTTAATGGTTTGCTGCTGGATTTTGTTAACAAGCTACAATCTTTTGTTTAAAAATCATTTTTCAGGGCAGCACTAGGGAACATTCTCAGAAGTGATGGATTTCTGTTTCTCAAAAGTAACCAAAACAAGGTTGCCTTTTTCTAAATAAAAGGCATATAACTGGTACAAGCTTCTGGCTTGTAATACATAACATACACTCTGTTACCATTCACCTTGCACATAAACCGGCACATGCCAGCACTTCAATCATGTGATGCCACATTGTATATAGCTTGTTCATTCATTCGTTCATTTAGTCGTTCAGTCATGTCCAACTCTTCGTGATCCCATGGACCAGAGCGTGCCAGGCCCTCCTACCTCCCGGAGTTGGGTCAAATTCATCTTGGTTGCTTCGATGACACTGTCCAACCATCTCATCCTGTGTCGTCCCCTTCTCCTCTTGCCTTCACACTTTCCTAACATCAAGGTCTTTTCCAAGGATTCTTCTCTTCTCATGAGATGGCCAAAATATTGGAGCCTCAGCTTCAGGATCTGTCCTTCCAGTGAGCACTCAGGCTTGATTTCCTTTAGAACTGATAGGTTTGTTCTCCTTGCAGTCCAGGGGACTCTCAAGAGCCCCCTCCAGCACCACAATTCAAAAGGATCAGTTTTTGGCAGTCAGCTTTCTTTATGGTCCAGCTCTCACTTCCATACATCACTACAGGAAAAACCATAGCTTTGACTATGCGGACTTTTATTGGCAAGGTGATGTCTCTGCTTTTTAAGATGCTTACAATATAGCTTGTAAGTAAATACAATTGTGGTTACAGTACAGAAAATTTTGGGAAGCTACAACTTTACTGCAACTTAGGGTGGAACTACACAGCAAGAGAAATGTGAATTAACTTTCATTCTCTCAATGTGAAGTTGCACTGTGACATTTAGCTCTCTTTGATGTAAGTGTTTGCACAGGTTTTTTTTTCAAAATAAGCCTTGGTATTGCAGTTCCATTGAAGAACCTGTAGGAGGTGTGGTTCAAAGGAACTGCTTTAACAAGGCTTTTCCTCCCTCAATGACTCTTTTTTTTCTCACCTTTTCACTTATGGGAGATTGTTAAACTGTAAAAGAAAGAAATAAACAGGAGTTTTGTTCACCCAGAGGAAGCTATAAAAACTTCTTAAAATGGCTTGGGAGAGAGGATTTGTAGAGAGAGGTGAATGCTGGCACTGTGTGTGGGTGGGTGTGCATGCGCTTATCTCATTGTCCCTTGTGAGGTTAGGAGGGAGGTACTTGGCCAAAGCACCACTTTGTGTAATGTACATGTACTTTTTTTAAAAAAGTAGAAGGTGGGGAGAAAAAACTTTGGACTGGGGATGTGGGACTCTGGGCGGAGGCAAATTTCCCATTGTGTCATGTGATCAATGAGAAAAATGCAAATCAGCCTGCCCCATACCTTTGTTTTTGGGAAAGAAAATTACAGATAACCAATTTTTATTACTTCCCAATTTTGGACAGTACATTGCTTTCATGAACAAGTTATGCTCTGGCATGCTATATAAACAGTCTTTTTATAAATTCATTTTTTATGTGCTTTGTAAACAAACTCGCTTAACATCTGGAGTTTTATTGTTCTTCACAAAGTTGTTTATTTATATATTTTTTCAATTATAAGCACTAGTCAAACATTGCTAGGCTATAAGATCACATCATCAACTTGGGAATAAATTGTGATTTTATCTAATCCAACTGCAATATGAGGATAAATTGAAGTTTCGAAAGGTTGCAATAAAAGCTGGAGGAGTGTGACTGTGTCTAACGTTTTTACTAGGACAAAACCTTAAAGGACATCTGCCACAAAAGTGGTGGGGTTTCAGTCACCTTATAGATGATAATCAAAAGATATATTTGCTAGATATATAAAAAGTGGATAGGGTTGTTGCTCAAATGTAGTTCATATATGGAAGTGCTTGATCTGGATCTGCATTTGAAAATATCGCAACAACTGAGTGATGTTTTGTCTTTGAATTGCTTACATAGTTGGCAAGATTTAAGTAGTTCAAGGACATTGCCTTTTTTTTCTTCAAAAAGAGAGCAACATAATAACCTTTAAAATGCCCCTCCTAGAAACATAAATGCCTATTTTTAGACTGTTTTTCAAGAGATGTGGTGTGTTGGAGGTGCTCTGAGAGTTGCAAGCTGCATGAAGCCCCTGGGCCATACTCCGTGTGCTTGTTTTGTGCCATCAAGTCAGAAACAACTTATGGTGACCCTAATAGGGTTTTCAAGGTGAGATATTTAAGAAGTGGATTCGCTAGTTCCACTCCCTCAGTCATGGCTGAGCAGGAATTTGAACCCTGCTCTTCAGAATTCTAGTCTCTCACTATTCACTACATCACACTGGGAATCCCCACTCCTTTATTAGGACAATTGCAACTCCATCCAGACCAAGTTGAAAATTACATTCCTGAACAGACAAACTGTGTAGCATCTAAACCTAACAAAGAATTTTGGTGAACTTGTAGAGTCATCTTGTTTATCACTTTTCAGAAATCCAATCAACAGAATTTTGTTTCTACACACGGATCGCATTCAAGCCTGTACTAACTTATCAACAGTACCTCTGTCTGGTCAGAAATAAGCTTCAGGTTTTGGCCTTCATCCTGTCACTGATTTCAGGCAGTAATTCAACAGGTTCACTTCCTTGCCTGATTTCTGTGTGGAATAGAAGTAGAACTGAGTGACACCCATTTCCCATTCAGCAGTTTCATGTAGATGTTAATGAGGATGTGAGAAAAAATGAAACTCTTTGGCAGGACCAACAGTGTAAAAAATGGAAGTTCTTCTAACATAACCTTCTGGCATGGTGCGTCCATATCCATTAATCCTTACCTGATATGACTGGAAGGGGTCTAGACTTTGCCTTTCAGTCTCTTTAAGTTGAAAGTTGAATGATTTGTGAGGTAAGCTACCATGCACTTTAAACAGAGCCATGTGTGTAACAAGCAAAACAGAATCCCATTACATCTTTTTCCATCTATTCCTGTGTTTAGAAAAACAGACAGTGGCTCCAAATTCTGGAAGAGCTTCTCTCAACCTTCTTTTTAAGAGAAGTAGTTTAAAAAGTGACTTAGCCAAAGTCCTGGACAGTTACTATAAAGTGAATTACATTTATTACACATGCAGAGACAGTTTATTACACATTGTTGAAAGCAGTTGCAAATATACATACAGGGCTGTTCCTAGGTAGTTTTCTTCGTAGGCAACTTCTTGTGTGAGCACCAGATTAAGTAAATAGTAAATTAGATATAATATCTTCCTGACTTTCTCCAGCTTGGAATTTGGGAGATTTGAGGCAAAAATCCTTTTGTATAACTTGACATCAGTGTAACCTGGGATCACTGATGTACAGTTACACAAGTTTTCCACCCACATCCGAAGACTTCCCCCAGGACAAAAAGGAGCCCTGTGGAGCCTTGAAATGTAAAAGGAGGGGGATAGTCAACTTCTGATTACTTTAAATTAAATGCTTCTGGTGCCCAAACCCACACAGTTAGGACAACAGGATTTTTCTCCAATATCTTTCCCCTTCTTTCTAGACAAATGTAATTAACATTTTAACATAGTGCCTGTTAATACATCTCTCAGTGCTTCCGATCGGCTAACTCTCTTTAATCAATGACCTCAACAGTATTGTGTCTCCAGTTTGGAATGAGTGTGAAAGCTGAACAGTTAAGAGAGATGATAGGAACAAAAAATAATAAGTTGAAATTAAAGACAAACAAGTGGGTCCTACAGCAAATCAAGCCTGTACTATTTCTGGAGGCAAAAATGTTGAAACTGAGTTTGTTCTATTTTGGGCATTTTGACAAGAGTGATGGATCTAATATGCTGCTGTTTACCTGCATTTTAGCTCCTTCAGTAATAATTTCTGTACATAAGTGTTCTGCAGTGTTGACAATGGCTTGCTTTCAATCTCTCAGAATTTCATTCTCAATATACCATCATAAACCCTAAACTAGAATAGGTAGTGCTAATTTCTTAATTTTATAAGTGCAATGTGATGAATGCAATAGAATGAAACACAAGAAAGAGAAATAAGATAGTGATCATAGTTCCACTGAACACTATGAGCAGAAGCCTGTGCTGCAGGGTCAGAAGACCAAGCAGTCATAAGATCGAATCCACGCGACAGAGTGAGCACCCATCGCTTGTCCCAGCTCCCGCCAACATGATAATAACGTGTCACCAATTCAGTTCTGACTTATGACAATCCTTGCCCAGATTTCCTAGGTGTAAACTACTCAAGAATCCCTTCTTCTTGTAGCGTTCCAGGGCTATGCAGCTTGCCTGAGGTACATAGGCTGGCTGTTGTCCCAGAAGGCGCAGTGAAAAACAGAACTCCTGATCCCTGGTGCACCAACTCACTGAGGCCAATACATTTATATTAAATTTAAGCATAGCTGAAGACTGTGTTGTTCAATGCCTACGGATCCGTATGCCAAGTCTGGACAGGACTAATTCACATAATGTGCTGCTCTTTTTTTCGCTTAACCACATTTTCACAGGGCAGCAGCATGAGGAAGAATTTCAGCCCTGACTGGCAACATCTGTAGTAACTATTTTCCATGTAAATTACAGGGAATTATGTCCTATGGTGAAGCATTTCATACATAGTTATAGCAAGAGTATTTGAATATCTCAGTATGGTTTCCCTTTTCCCTTTTAACTTTATTTGTATTAATAAATATTTCATTGTAGATATAGGTTGTCACTGACACTTTCATGTCTGATTTTTTTAAAATGTAATAAATGTATCTAAGACACTATTTCCTATTGATAAGTTATGTCATTTCCCCCCCTCCCCTTGCCTATTTGGATTCAGCTCCTCTTTCATTCAGGTGTACTGGTATCTCTAAGCCTTTCTGGGCCACAGCTGGAGGAAGTGGTGATTGACAGAACCCTGATGGGGAAGCTCATCTCCGACACTATCAGCGATGGTAATTATACCTATGTGTGATTCAGTTTCTTACATTTACTGTAGAACAGGAGGAATAGCATGTCAACAGGTAGACCAATTATTACCACTGGGGACTGAAAAACACAACAAGTAATTGCACGTAATGCCATAGTTACTACCCTCAAGACCAAAACCACTTTAGAAAAAAAATTTAACATCAAAGTTTCTGTTCTTAACAACTATTACATTTATTTTCTAAATCTCAATTCCCCATGTCATTTTCCCTAAAGATATTGAAGTTATAATATGTGAGTTTTCCCTACCATTTGAGTACTTTATTCTGTACTGATCAGGTTCCTCAAAGTAAGCAATAATGTCGCAATAAATAACAGATCTGTGTGTTGTCTGTGCTAATGGCTTTCATTGCAGTGCAGGCAATCTTAGTCAGCTAAAATATGTACTGTTAAATATTGTTGAGTAATATGGAAGGTGATGCTTCATATTGTGAGGAAAAGGGCTTTCCTCGTTCTGCTCTTTAAGATCTTTTAACCAAAGATGTCAGAACTGAACCTGGAACCTTTAACATGCAAAATGTAAAAGAGAGGTCATTTCCATCTTCCACCATTTAAAAATGCTTAGCAAAATGTAGCATTTGAAGAGGGATTGCACAAATTCCGGGATGATGACTTATCAGCAAAAAAAGTTTATAGAAGGTTCCACCTTAAAGGACAGTATACCCTGAATGCCGGTTGCTGGGCACAAGATGACAAGCAAATGTTGCTTTTGTGAAAGCATTTGGCTAGTATCTATCAAAGGCAAGTTTGTGGACTAGATCACTGGTTCTTAACCTTTGTTACTCTGATGTTTTTGGACTGCAACTCCCAGAAGCCTTCACCATCAGCTGTGCTGGCTGAGGTTTCTGGGAGTTGCAGTTCAAAAACAGCTGGGTAACAAAGGTTAAGAACCACTGGACTAGATGAACTTTTGACATGCTACTGCAGAGCTATTCTAATGATCTGTAAGTTTTCTATTTCACTGAAACTCTAAAATTTTGAAATGAAAGTTACAGCGTTGTGTCTTGAGCTAAATTTGCTGGCTTGATATAATAGGAAAATTCTCTACCATATCTGGAAGTTGAGTCATGGCAACTGGACTTCCTTCTTATTAAGCTCAACTGTTGGTGCTCGAGGAGACTCTTGAGAGTCCCCTGGACTGCAAAGACCTATCCATTCTGAAGGAAATCAACCCTGAGTGCTCACTGGAAGGACAGGTCCTGAAGCTGAGGCTCCAATCCTTTGGCCATCTCATGAGAAGAGAAGACTCCCTGGAAAAGACCCTGATGTTGGGAAAGTGTGAAGGCAGGAAGAGAAGGGGACGACAGAGGACGAGATCGTTGGACAGTGTCATCGAAGCAACCAACATGAATCTGACACAACTCCGGGAGGCAGTGGAAGACAGGAGGGCCTGGCGTGCTCTGGTCCATGGGGTCACGAAGAGTCGGACACGACTTAATGACTAAACAACAAAAAGAGGATCTACTGAGAGAGAGAAAATCAGTAATAGACTTTAATGGAGCAACCATAGAGAATAAGAGATAAAGGAAATTGATGATACATTCAGAGTAGGAAAGACTCAAGGAATGGATGGCTTGGGAATGGAATATTATAAAATACAACAAATATTATGGAAAAATCTTAAAATCAAAATTAAATGTTGGAAATACAATCAAAGCCCCAGTAATTAGATACCCAGCTGGAGTAATAGACTGGACCCAGAATGAATTAGAAGGATAGGATTTTAAAAAAAATCCAGAAAACTAATGAACATATATCACACACTACATCCAAAAAGTGATGTGGACAGATTTACCACGAAAAATTGGAGGCCGTGGATTACTGCAAATACAACAGGTAGTAGAGGAGGAAAAATGAAGCCTAAATGATTATATGAGTACAAGTAGAGAAAAATTACTTAAGGCGATGAAAATGGAGAATATTTTGAACACAACAGAAACAAAGGCTCAATGTAAGAAACAACAACTTGAAAAGAAATTAAACAGCTGGAAAAATAAACCACTACATGGACAACATCTGAGAAATATTGATGGAAAGCATGGTCATAATTCAACATGGACATGGCTGAAACTGGGGACCCTTAAGAAAGAAAACAAAAGCTTGATTTTTGCTGCACAAGAACAAGCCCTCCAAAGCAGTGTGATGAAAGCTAAGATCCAAGGAATTAGTGCCAACAGCAAATGTCAACTCTGCCAAGAAAAAGGTGGAACTGCCAAGAAAAAGATGAAACCTCATCTTTGAATGTCCAAAGATTGCACAAACAGATTAGCAAGTTAGACATGATAGATGGCAAAATTAATACACTGGTTATTATGCAAAAAATATTACTTGCCAGCCTCCAAAAACCCCTGGGAACATGAGGTAGAGAAGGTATCAGAAAATGAGGAAGTCAAGATCTTGTGAGATTTCTGGATCCAAACAGACAGACACCTTGAACATAACACACCAGACATAGTAGTAATAGAATGAAGAACTGTCCGGATCATCGACATTGCATGCAGTCAGGGCAGGCAGTGGGTCGTCATTTTGCCAAACAGGGCAGAGAGGCCCTGTGGGATTATTTCACGGTGGTCAATGGTGACCCACATCTGGCACGCTGCAATGCCTGCCTTGTGGTGGTCCGGAGGGGGTCAGACACCAGGCATCTGTCCTCCAGCACCCTCTACCAATATCTGGAGAGGCACCACCCAAGGCTCCTGTCTGGGGAAGGCACTTTGTCACCACCGTCTGGGGGAGGGAGGAGAGCAGCTCCAGTGGGAGATGTGGGGAGGCAGAAGGAGGCGCCTCCTTCCAGAAGGGCAGCCATGGGGGTTTCTGGGACTGGGAGCATGAGGCAGGCCACGCTTCACAAAGTTTGCACCTGTTTGGGCTGCAATGAGCCAGCAGTCGAATGGTAAGGCCCACGAGGCAGCCACTCATTTCGTGGCCAAGACAATTGCCCTGTTTGGACTTCCACTGTCCACCATGGAAGCCCTGGCCTCCCGCTGGTTGCTGCATTTTTTGCCCCCAGGTATGATCCCCCTCCCCATGGTTGCTGCATTTTTTTGCTCTATGACTCTGTGAGGGAGGTGGTCCGTGACCATCTTTCACAGGCAAAGGGGTATAAGGTGCGCTTTACGGCGGACCTGTGGAGTGGAGGTCATCACGGCTACATCTCACTCACAGCCCACTGGTGGCAGCCAGAGGACCTGAGGAGTGGCAGGCGAAATGCGACAGGGCCGCTGGGGGAGGCCCTTGTCCTGCCCCTAGGCTACAGGTCTGTTCTGCTGCTGGCGCGGCACATGGATGCTCATGCAACGGGGAGGAACATCGCTGATGAGTTCCCGTCTGCGCTGCAGGAGTGGGCACTGGAATGGGAGGTTATCCTTGGCCACAAGGTCATGGATGCTGGGTGGAACATGTTGGCAGCATAGAATGCAGCAGGCTTTGAGGGCATTGTCTGCATGGCGCACAGATTACACCTTGTAGTGCGCACTGCCATTGAACTGGGCAGCCACGTCAAGCCCGAGTGGGACACAGACACCACTCGGGCTTGATGTGGACCTGCCCAGCTCCTGACGGACCTGCTCAGCTTGGCCAGGAAAGTGGTCATATGGCCAGAGTTGTCCAATATGGCCATGAACCTCCTTTCCACCACCCCACCAGCTTCCAGAGCGACCATGTGTTTTCCCATCTTGGACACATACTCCAACCATGCCGCTCGCATTTGGATCCTGTAAGTCTGGAGAGACTGTCTTTCATCAAGGTGAACCTTCCCTTGTTAGGCTTCCCCTCAATGAACCTAAAGAGGTAGGGTCCCAATGACAGTCTCTCTCCTACCACATCGCCTGGCTTCCTGAGGCCCAATGGTTCACTATATCATCTGTCTGCCTGCCCACGCACCCACCTCCCTCCCTGCCTGCCAGGCCGCCTAAAAAAATGTCTACCTACTTGCCTGCCAACCTGCCTGTTAGCCTTCCCAAGTGAAAACCAGCTTCAAAAGTCCAGCGACCAGTTCCAGCCCCCTTCGGCCAGGATATACCTGACCTGGAAGCCCACAGGCCAGCCTTAGTGGCAAAGCCGTACCCAACCTGGAAGCCCACAGCCTTGGTGGCAGGGCCTTACCTGACATGGAAGCCCAGCACCACATTTTAGGTATATCATTAGTTCTTTTTGGAGGCTTGTGTTCAGTGCCTGCTTGTGACAAATCCGAACTTGATGTCAAATGCCTCAATGCCATGATTTCTCCCCTACCTGCTAGTCCTACACTCCTGCAAACCCTCTGTCACTCCTCCATGTGGCAGATTTTTTGCCACTACACCACCAATGTAAAAGGGAAACTTGCCTCCCCCAGTGAATCATATTGGTACCTGAGATGCCTGAACCTTGGGAGACCTTGCCTGCCAGCCAAAAACCATCAGCCACTCAAACACCCCCAAGACCTCATCTTGGCCAAGATACTAAACACCTCTACTCTGATGCTGCTTGGAAAGACCCCTGCCAAGATGCCAAATGCCTCAGTGCCTGCTGGGGGCTAACGCTACCTCAATGGCAAATGCCTGTGATCCTGCCTGAGAAGACCCTTGCCAAGATGCCAAATGCCTCTGATGCTGCTGGAGACAAACACTACCTCAATGCCAAATGCCTCTGATGCTGCTGAGGGCAAACGTTACCTCAGTGCCAAATGTTTCAGTGCCTGCCGGAGGCAAACCAAACTACCTCAGTGCCAAAATTATCTTATTCTGCTGCGGCCAAATCAAACTCCCTCAATACCATCTGCTTCTGTGCCTCATGGCAAACTTTGCCAGCTGGCTCTTTCCTGGGGGAACAATTTGTGGGTGAATAACTCAGATGTCGGATATCCAATATTCACCAAACTTGGCAGGCTTTTTGGAGAAAGACATTGGAAGCTACTGTGTGATTTTAGATTCTTTAAGTACTTGGGGGGAACTTTCCTAGGGGCATTCTCCTTGTGGCTATATAACTCAGAGGTCAGGAACCCACACTCCACTAAACTTGCAGAGCTTGTAGAAAACAGACTGAGTAAGCTTCCCTGGGAATTTGGTGTCTCTAGGTGCCTGGGAGCCTGTTTTATAGCATTTTAAAGTGAAGATGAATCAATGAATCAGTTTGTCGATTAATCTGAGAATATTCGTAAATTTTTATTTGTTGATTCGGCTACCATGATGAATTACGAATCACAATTTTTAAAAATTCATCCCTATTTCTAGTCTTGATGGTCACTAAGGGTCTTACGTTTTAGCAATCACTCTATTTTAAAAAATACTTCTATGTCATGGTGTGATAGTATGGACTGTATAGTGACAGATGGATAAAAAATGCATACATCCATCTATTTGAATGATACAAGTTGACTTTCAGCATGCTCCGATGCAAAGATCAATGTCACGTGCAAATAAATAAATAAATACTTTTTTTAAAAAAATCCTCAGATTTGTCTCCCAAGCGGTTCAACAGCTTCAAGAAATATGGCTTCTTTAGTAGCACCTGCTATTTCATTGGTATCCCTGTCTCTGTTTTTTTTTTCCATATTTATGCTTGACTGCAGCTAAGAATAGTGTTTTCACTGAACCAATGAAAACAATCATAGAAGAGGGTTACACTCCAAAATCCAAGAGAAATGAAGAAAAAAATGAATATAGGAAGCTGAATCACACTATAGTAGAAATTTTGAACCTGATAATTTATTCAGTTTTATTAAATCTGAGTGCTCCCTAAGCTTTGTTTTTCATTACAAGGAAGACTCTGACAAGATGAAACACTGATGTCTTTTAGGAAGCCTTGAAAATGTGCTTTTCTTCCTCTAGTGTCACAGTGGGGGTGGGTGAGGGGATATAGTAATTTGTGGTGTTGCTGCTGCTGCTGGCAGATATTACAATGGTGAAATTTTTTTTCTTTGCTTTTCAGCTGTCCTCACAGACACTTTCATGATACTGTCATTTTGGGAACAAAGCAAACTTTGTTTCATTCAGTTTACAAAAAAGGCAAATTCTCCTGATGTTAATAAAAAACTTGAAAAGATCTCATCCATGGATTTTAAGGTATGGTCATCACCAATAATACTTGCAAGTATTATAATTACTGTCAAACATATCTTTTGAGTGAGCAGAGTTTAGTGTGTCACAAGAATCAAAACAATTGGAAAGCTGTGCTTTCTAAGTTTTCATTTTGAAATTAAGAAGTGTTATGAAAAATTCCTTTAAATGGTTGCCAAATATAAAAGTAAAAGTACCGTGTTTTCCTGAAAATAAGACAGGGTCTTATATTAATTTTTGCTCCAAAAAACATATTAGGGCTTATTTTCAGAGGATGTTTTTATAATTTTTTTCATGTACAACAATCTACGTTTATTCAAATACAATCATGTCATGTCATCTTCTGGTTGCTGCACTATGGTGGGAGGTGAGGTTTCACGTAACTAGGGCATATTTTTGGGTAGGGCTTATATTACAAGCATCCTGAAAAATCATACTAGGGCTTATTTTCAGGTTAGGTCTTATTTTCAAGGAAACAAGGTAGAGCTGAAAGAACAACTGAGGAAGGATGCTAGTGAGCATGAGGCCCGGGCTTGAGTTAGTGATTTAACTTAAGTTAGTATGTTTTATGTATATACAGAATTTATATTCTGTTTCTATCACAGAACACACATTGTTCAGCATGAAACAGGAGAGCAGAAGTTGTTCATAGTAGAATAGAAATGTAAAATGATAAAATTACATAATACTGTGAAGTACATAACAATTGTGATTCTTGCATGGGAGAATATTTATGGAAGCCTGGCACGTATTAAGGATCCATCTTTGCCTGTGCCACTTAAGTATAGTTACCGTACTTATCTTTTGTAATATGCAGATATTGTTGAGTATTCGCTATGAGGCAGAGATGAACTGAACTCCAAGATATGAAGCAGCATAGGCTCTCTGTACTATTCAGAATGTGTTTAGAATTAATTAGTTCTTCTTCGTGGCCTCTGTGAATGCACACAAATGGGTTAGACTGTGCCTGTGCAGGACTCCTCAGAATCTTCTAGGACGTTTCCCTAGTACATCTTCTAGGACATTTCCCTAGTGATTTAGTAGGATATTTCCCCATGGTCCATATGCACCCCATGGTGCACATTTCCCTGTGGTGCACATGCTCTGCCTGCCCGTAATACCTCGGTTCCTTCTTGCCGCCACTGAGATCACACTCTTTTGCAACATCTAGAACTGTTTTGAATTGTTATCCATTTCATGGTTTTCTGTTTCTGGTCTGGCTTCCTCACTACCGTTTTTGTTTTCTGGAGTACTTTGACCTTTAAACTGGCTTTGTTTACGATTATGTCAGATTTGGATTGGCTACCTTTTTGTGATTTCTGGATTACTGACTTTTGGACTGATTACCGTTTCTGATTTGGCTTACGGACTTTATCATGATTTTCAGCTTCTAATCTGTTTCGGCTTTTGATTTGGACTGGCAATCGTTAACGTCTTCCCATGAGTTCTTCTCATTTTTCCCTGTCCCCCCCTCGTCTTCTGTTCCTGCCAATTTTTATGGCCTCATCAGGTCCCTTTAAGCGCTGTACATCGTCTGCTAATAAGATCCCTTTCACAGATGGCCATGAGTGCTGCTTATTTTGTTTAGGGGAGAGACACCAGACCCACTCCTTTCCGGAGTGTAAGAAGTTGAGCAAGCTTGCTCTTAACCTCCGCTTACAGCAGCTTCATTCATACTTGTGGGAGACGTCTTTAGCACCCTCGAGCCCGGCAGACATGGAGCCTACCTTGACTCCTGCTCCTCCTACTCCTTGTTCCAAGCCTGCTGCTTCATCAGCTCCTGCCACCCCTTCTCCGCGGGTTTCTTCGAAAGCACCTAAGCTGAAAGTCATCAGCATTAATGTCAAGCTCAATATGGAAATCAACATCAGTAAAGGATCCTAAGAAAAAGAAAGAGGTGGTTAAGCAGAAAAAGCCTAAACCATCTGCTAAATCTACTCATCCTCGGGAGCTCCCTCCAGTTTGAGTTTCTCTTCCATCACCAATACTCGAGGAATCGTCGAGAGAGTTACCAGATCCAGACTCTCTTTCAGAGGCGGGCGAAACTGTACCTCCACCACAGGCTTAAGCTTCAGTATCGATACCGAGCCTATCTCCCACTCATGGCCATTCTGAGGCTGATGTGATCTCCAGCCTGGCCTTGGCCCATTCGAGCCCTATGTCAATCAGGCGGGCAACAGTAATTCAACTATCGAACTCGGAGGTGTCGCCACAGCAGTCTCCTCCACATAAACAGCTGGCTAAACATTGGCACATCTCTCCAGCCCAACAGTATCCTCAGCATCAGAAGGTTATATTTCTTCCTCGTCCATCTCGCCGTTGAGTGTTCTCGGATTATGAGGAGTCTTTGTATGTGGAGGTCGATAGAAGGGGTGATTGATGTTGATACCATGGGGACAACCTTGATCCCTACTATGACGCCAGTGATTATGTAATTTCCAAAAGAGTGCCTTATGTCTATGCTTCTTCTTCTGGATCCTCCCTATCGCCCTCTCCTCCTTGGCGTTGACATCAGCTCGACCCTCCGCCATCAAAGCCGGCTTCTAAATGCCATTTATCTCAGCAAGATGTTTCTCAACAAGCGGTCCATCCATCGAAGCGTTCTCATGTCCTTTTGTACCGTCATCCTTGGTATCGCAACTGAGAGCATCTTACATCCGGTCTTCTCCTCAGGGTGCTTCTTCTAAAAGTTCTCATCCACCAGAAACAGACACTTTGGCACTGGTTCCTCGAGCTCTAGCCCATGTATCAAGAAGTCATCGTCACTCGCCTTCTCCACTTCTTTCTGTTGCGAGGGGTTCTTCAGTGTCATCAATCTCTGGATCCACTTTCAGAAGTTTCCAGGGAATCTCCTTCAAATCTGCCAACTCGTGATTCAGATGTTGCTGATCTCCATCCTCCATCTCCATCTGAGGACTTTGCATCATACTCACAGTTAATTCTCTGCATGGCTAAATCCTTGGAGCTTGATATAGAGCAACATCCTCCTCCCAAGCAGGACCTAGTCTTTGATGACATAAACCAAAATAAGTCCCCCTGCCATTGAGTTTGGCTTTCATTTTCATAAAAGAATCATGGAATCAACTGTCTACATCTCTTTAGATTTCTTTTTTTTTTAAATATTTTTTATTTATTTATTTGTAACTATAACAAAAACAAATCATATACATAAAACATATACACTTACAACACAATAACAGTGTTCCCCACCACCATATACGGGACCTCTTGCCATATTCTTCCTTTTCTTCTTCTTCTCATTCTTCTTCTTCTATTGTCCTCCTCTCCAGAACTGCATAGATTCTTGATTTGGAGCTCTCCCTTTTCCCCTTATTAACACATATTCCAAAAATTTGCCCCATATTACATAACAATTATTCTTTTTCAACTCTCCTTTCTTCATCTTTAAATTACAAGTTAATTTATCATTTAATGCTATATTCCATATTTCTTTATACCATTCTTCAATTTGTAATTCAGTCTTTAATTTCCACTGTCTAGCAATAATCAATCTAGCTGCTGTTATTAGATTAGTTATCAATTCTTTAATCATTTTGTCATATTCCACGTTCTCATATATTGATAACAAAGCAATCTCAGCCTTACATTCTATATCTTTTCCACAGATACAACTTAATTCTTTGAAAATTTGTTTCCAAAAACTTTGTACCTTTTCACATTCCCACCACATATGAAAGTATGTACCACATCTCTTTAGATTTCTAAGCGTGTTGAGAATCATTACAGAACGCATGGCAGTGACATTACTTTCCTCACTAAACACCCCACACCTAATTCTATTACAGTACAATCTGTGTACAACTGATAGTACAATTGATAGTACAATTGTACTATCACAGTACAATCACAGGTTGGAAACCGGTCTATGGTTACACCCACCAACAGAGAAGAATGGAAGCTCGATGTTCTGGGCCATCGGCTTTACTCTCTGGCTTTATTTGTCATGAGAGTGTCAAATTATCAGGCAGCTATGGAGGCTTACAGAGGCAGTTATGGAACAAGGTTTTGCTGGTTCTCCAGGCTGCTCCTGAGAAGACTAGGGCCAGTGTTCTCAATGCCAACCTGGAGGTGATGATACTGGCTAAACAACAGCGTTTAGCATCCCATCACACGGCTGATGCAGCATGGACTGTATTGGTGCTCTAGATTCCATCAGAGCCAGGGTCTTCCTTCCAACTGAGAAGATTCACAGATTAAATCGAGCTATTCATCCATTTCACCCTTATGCCAAGGTTTCTGCTCACCACACATGTCTCTTAGGTCTCATGGCTTTGACCATGTCTGTTCTTCCTCACGTTTGGTTGAAGATGCATTCTCTACAGGCGTGGTACCCATCCAAGTTCGATCCTCTGTTGGACAACCCTGCCAAATGCCTACGTGTGACTCCAGAGCTTGCAAGTCAACTGACGTGGTGGACGTTCATGCCTCACCTTCTAGTTGGCCGTCCTTTGACGCCTCTCCAGCTGACGGTCCAAATAACGATGGATGCCAGCCCAACAGGCTGGGGTACGCACTGTGGCACTCACAAGATCCATGCTCTATGGTCCAGCATGGAGAAGTCGTTGCATATCAACCATCTAGAAATGTTGGCAGTTATCAAGGCTTTCCATGCTTTCTTTCCTCTTGTGGTTGGTCGTGGAGTACAGGTGGCCACGGACAACATGACCACTCTGTATTGCAGCAACAAGCAGGGGGGCACCCACTCTTTGTCTCTTCTGTATTTAGCAATCCACCTTTGGGAATGGTGCTACGATCACCATATTTTTCCAGTCGCCATCCACGTGTCTACAGAGGACAACAATGTGACTGATCATCTGAGCTGTCTTACCACTCAGACTCACAAGTGGGTTCTCAACGACTCTGTATTCTCCCATATCTGCGATCGGTGGGGAACGTAAGCCATCAATGTATTTGCCACCCAGGCCAATTTGAAATGCAGCAGGTATTGCTCTTAGGCAGGAAGAGGCACGGACTCTTTGAGCAAT